ATTATTATTATTATTGTTATTACTATCACTATTATTGCTGTTGTTCATTTCTCCACATTGTTTCATTGTATTGTGACTTTGGTTTCTTGTTTCAGTACGATGATCAGAGTGAAATTCAATTTTCAACAAAAAATCACCATTTCAAATTTAACTTTGTCCTGTCGTTTCGCTTGTTTTTCATTTTCGAGTCGCTCGACCGTTTTCCGAAGTGATACAATTTCCTCATTCTCGCGTTCGTTATGATTCGCGAGCGATTCGAGCGTCTCAAGAGCGGAGATCACCTGGAATATGAGTGAACATTGTTGGCATTCAGGTAGGTCAATTTAACATTGTGCTTAGTCAGGGACATTTTTGTTAATGAGGTTATTGAGGTTCAAGACAAGAAATGGAGAGGTTCACTGAATGGTCGTCGGGTTGGTTTATTGAGATTATTTATTGAAAGTGCAGATTTGATTGGGTGCTTGCTTATTTTACTTTCTTTGAGATGAGGGTTGATATTGAAAGTGCTAATTCGAAGACATATTCCCTGCTGACTCGTGAACAAGTCACTCATGCTCATCACACACGGATCAGACACCGCACTTTATCTAATGAATGTGAAATTTGTGAGACGACGAAAAACGCTTTGTTTACATGACTGAAAAGTATCGCATTTCAGAAAATGATAGGAAAAAAATGGATGCGTTACATTTTATTTGAAGAGTTACTTGTGAATTCGAAGCGATGAAAGTGCCCCGTTCAGTGAAGTCAACTGATGAAATGCTTCCCTCTCTCACTCAACTCAAATCTCCTGCACTAGGATGAAATGTACAATTTCAGAAGAAAACTTTTGCAGAGGCATCACNAATGAAAAATACAATTTACATAAATAAAACCACTTATATGCTCATAGCAAATTGCTCTAGATGGCTTTGCGTAACCTCGGCGCTAAATGACTGACAAGAGAAGTGGAATAAGAGTGACAAAATGACAACGCTAATTGAAGAATTGAAATGTGCCAGATTTTGACATCTCAGTGAGAATTGTGAATAGTTCACTCTTCTATCACTTCTTTTCAGTTTTGCCTTGACAAGAATACATCCTTGATATATCCTCTTGCATGCTCACTTCTTGCATTCTTTACGGATGTTGCTTCATCATTTGAATCCACTTATTCGTTTAAATGCATTCATTCTATCACACACACCCTAATCTTAATCAACTGCACCTTAATCATCTCAATCTTAATCAACTGCACCTTAATCACCTCAATCTTAATCAACTGTAACAATTAGTGATTAATTTGGAGATTTCGGTGACAAACTCAGTATGATCAATGTGATCATCTGTAAAGAGCAGTTGAAAGAGCAAGAGCAGATCGATCGTAACGAACCTTTGGCATGAGTTGTCGAACGGCATCATTACCGAACTGATCGATGATTCGTTCGAAATCCTTCCCAATCGATGCAGCCAAGTCATACACATCGACGACGGTGATGTGCTTGGATGGACTTTGCGACGGTGAACGACACGAAGACATTTTGCGAGGGAAGTGTTTCTTGGACGAAGCTGCAGAGGGCACAACACCACAAACAACACTCCCAGTTAAAGCTCCAAATGAACCGAAACTTTGAGATGTCGGAACAACGGTACCAACTGAATACACAACACATCGTTAATGTTGTTGCTTACGCAACTCGTTATCAGTGATTTTATGCAAATATTCACTAATAACATCGTCAAATACTCATCGTCACGAGACCAGTTATCGAACGCATAATTTTCGACGTACTTTCAATGCAAATGATTTATTTCGGTGAGCATAAAATGGTGAGGTGTACGATATGATAGGATGAATGAAATCTATTCTGTGCATTATTCTGTTTTAGTGGTAGCGTTCGAGTGAATAACAAATACGTTCTTGGTGCTGCTAGTGCAATCTCGGTTCTGAGTCTATGTTCATAAGGATGGAACAAATTCTAACGAATAGAACAAATGAATAGAAACGACCAAAAATGGCTGGTAGTGCTGCTACTGCTAAAGGCTGCTGACTGATATGGAACTGGCTAACAAGATCTTATCCTTGGTTGGACGGACGAATGAATTAATGGATGGATGGATGGATGGGATGTAAGCAACAAACAAGAAACAAATCAATACAACGATGGATTATGCAATAAGTGATGACGACGTTGTGTTGTTGTTCATTTTGAGAGGATGGATCTATTGAGGACTATTTGAGCATGTGTCTATTGGCATGATATTTATTACACTTGTTAGTTCAATCGTTTCTTTAATTTACTCTCTTAGTCATGTTGCAGTTCATTTCGAAGAGAAAATAAAAGAAATTAGACGACATTATTGTGCATGGATAAGAAATGTGTATAAATTATGAATGAAAAATCTTTTTTTGTCTATCAGTTGGTAAACGAAATTATGACTGATGANTCATTACGAAGAGAAAATAAAAGAAATTAGAAGACATTATTGTGCATGGATAAGAAATGTGTATAAATTA